GGGGGGGGGGGGGGGTTGTGATATGGTCGCATCTTGCATAATCCGAAGCAATTAAACGATATGGGGATTGACCCCACGAACGTCGCACGAGAATACGTGTGAACGCTATCCGAGTCGCGCCCTTACACGCATTCCCATACGTCGATTCGCCCACCCAAGAAGACTTGAGGCGGAACTGTCATCCCATACGAACATATTGAGGCGTCCCTGAATCTGTCTGTCCTACACGTGTCCGTGCGCAATGATGATATCCCGACCCGAGCTATCCCATCGACGATGATACCATGACGCGATCTTTGAACTCAGACTCGTCCTATGACCCGGACTATTTCACCCCTATGATAAACGAACTCATAAGGACACGGTACCCTTGTCACACGGAGAATCGGCTATGTCCGCGGGAATTCCACTGTGCCACCACTAGCGACCCTCGGTGCTCCGATTTCCCTTCCCCCGACCACACCTACTACTTCACCCACCCGGGATTCGTTGAGATCACCACCAGTTTCCCTCCCTTCCGCCTCCTTCTCCCATATCATCAACTCAGTGTCGTCCCGTGGCCCGCCATAGCCCCCTACTGGCCCAATACGTTTTGCGTGAACTGCCAACGTAGCGGCGGACAAAGAACTCTGGAATTCCGAAGGCCCAACCCGGGCGCGCGGCGACCTGCGCCACGTGGCGGCCCCCGACGGCCTAACTTTTCAGGACCACCCCCACCACGGAGGGACTTCCCCGTAACCCGTCACCCACAGTGCCCCGGCCCCACCAGACTGTGAGTCCCTTGCGCACGCACCCCTGACTCGCCTAATTGCATTCATACCCTTAAGACTCACCCACTTTCCCCAAAAATCCTTGGCACACCCCTTTTCGCTCTTCCAAGCCCACATCCCACTCCGATCAGGAAGTCGCGCTGGGTGTGAGGTTGGGCGTCACAGGACCGGTAGTCCCAGGGATCTGATGGCCAAGGACCTACCTGGAGTCCCAGGGACCTTTTGCCAAGGACCTATCGGCAGTCCCAAGGGCCTGGTTCGGCCCCCAGGTCCTAGGCCCGGACCTAGCATAATGGAATTGGTGGTTCCACAGGGACCTGATGGTGACCCCCAAGGCTACAATCTCCTACCCCCTGGCTGCGCCCCGCGCGGTCACAGTCACCTCCTGTGACCCTAACCACCCCTGGCTAGGTCCCACTTGCACGAATTAAGAGAAACTGGCCGTAGATAGCATAGATCAACGGCCGAAATCTCGTAATCGGCGCAAGTGGGACCTTGCCCCCGCGGAGAGGTCAGGTGGGTGTTTTCTTCGGCCTTTCTTCTCCACCCTCGTTTCAGCCTTCGGGCATACTACCTTAGTTGTACTACCCGCCGACCGACAACAATTTCATTGCATCTGAACCCCTTCTTCGTCCACATTCATTCACGATGTTGGCAGATTCCGAGTAGTGCAACATTGGGGCGGTAGTTTTTTCGACACAATCGACACACACATTGGCGCGCTATAGTTTTTTCCATTCCGCATACATTGGCGCGGTTAAACTTCCACATCGGCGCGGCAGTCTCTAGCGGTTTGCAGGAGGACAGCTGTAGCTATTGGGCCTCTGGCTCCACCACTCTCGACATGAGCGAAATGAGAGCGAATCTTCCGCTAGAACACGGAAACATCCATACATACACTGCTATCATGATTTTTGCCTTTTATCGGGCCTCGCTCCACCACTCTCGACATGTGAACATGGAAAGATCCATACACTGCCACGATTTTTGTCGTTTGTGCATGTCGAGAGTAGTGGAGCGAGGCCTATTGTCGCAATACACTCTGAATTAGTGAAGTGAAGTGGATCGGGAACTCAAGTGGAAGCACGGAAGTTCACGAGAACGAGCTTCAGTGCTTTAGTTGACTGCTGCACTGTGTCTCGTCTCTCGTCTGCGCGACGGTGGCAGTAGCGCGCGCTCCCTTCCTCCCTTCCTCCCTCCCTTCCTTCCTTCTTTCCTGCCTCTCGAGCTTCTCATCACCATCGCTGTTTGATCAGGAAGAGAGCGGTAGCTACCGGTAGCTGGCGACATGGTGGACGCTAGAAGCAACGAGGAGATCGTGCGCACAGCATGCGAGATTGGTGCTGCTATGTGTGCGGGGTTATTCAGTGGAGCTGCCCTCTACGTAAATGCGGTTGAGCATCCCAGTAGAATGATTACCCTACCTCTGCCTGCGGCCGTCGAGCAATGGCGGGACAGCTACAAGAGGGCAGCGCGAATGCAGGTCAGTGGCAGAAGGCTAGAAGCTAATTAGGTTGATGCTTCTTCCCGCCCCCCCTCCCTCCCCCTTCCCCCCCCCCTCTCCTTCTGTCCTTTTTCTGTTTACAGGGCGACGGCCTTGGTATGATAGTTTGGACCACCTCTCGGCTTCAGCATGTCAGTCTCTTGCTCATGGGCCATGCTTGTCTTCTCTCTATCGTTCCAGTTATACCGAATGACATTGTATGCATGGTGTACGGAGCAGTTCTAATGACGTTATATATCGTGCCGGGTAAAACCGTAGGGGCAGAGATTGAGGGAGAAGAGGGGGACAACAAACGAGGGCCCGGGCTGTGACAAAACTGTTTCGTCGGAGTTTCATCGACTCATCAGGAGGATTGACGATATATATATGTGTGTGTGTGTGTTATGTGTGTGTGTTATGTGTGTGTGTTATGTGTGTGTGTGTATGTGTGTATGTGTGTGTGTGTGTGTGTGTGTGTGTGTGTGTGTGTGTGTGTGTGTGTGTGTGT